TCTATTTCCTACATTTTTCTTATGAAAATGAACTAATTTACGTGGAACTCATGTACAATTTGTGTGAAATTTCTGTATTCCAAACAAGGTGCCCTGAGACACATTTTAAACATACTAGATAGATGTTCCGCACGCTGCTGTGGAAATATATAGTATTGCCGGGAAGAAGGATTGATGCAATAGAAAATACACTAGTGCAGGACTGAGCATCAGTCGCGATTGAAAACCCCCTTTAGTCCCGACTTCCCAACCGGGATTGCGAATTGGGGACTAAAGGCCCCCCCTTTAATCCCTGTTCTAAGAACCGGGACCGAAAGTAGACCTTTAGTCCCGATTGCTATTACCAACCGGGATTAAATGTGCCCCTAGACCTTGCCTCAGGGCTGGCACGTTTAGTCCCGGTTGATGTTTCCAACCAGTACTAAAGGTTCTTTTTTCCATTTCTTTTCCTTTTCCTTATATGGTTTCTTTTCAATTCAATTCTTTTTTGGTTTCAATTAGTTTTTCGTATACGAATTCTACGCTACTAATATACATCCACATATACATATAAGGTTCGTTCGAGCATTATACATAAATAACACACTAAAATGTATGAAACTATATATATATATATACACACACAAATATTTCAAGAGGTTGTACATGCATGGAATATGTACATAATAAAGTCACAAAAAACTTGTACTCATGTCCTTAGGATTTCATTCAACCCTAATCTTCTTCGGTTGTATGTCTACTAGGTAATATTTCTTTCCTGACATGGTAGTACTCGTCTTTAGAATCTATGACCTCATCCATAAAAAAATCCTGACAATTCCTCTTGAATTGCTTTCATCTGGTCAGCCCTGGACGGTGACCCGTAGCCGGACGGAGGAAATACGAGTGCGTGGGGGCTTCTGGACGGCGTAGGTGAGCATATGCGTTCAGCTGGTGTAGTGTACAGTGGTTTTTGGATTGTTTTGGATGATTGAATAGTATTATGTGAGAGAATAAGCTGAAACAAGCTAAAAGTGTACCAGCCGAACACGGCAACGTGCAGCCGACTGGGGCAGGCGAGTTCCTTGACTCCTTGAGCTTGATAGGTGGAGAACACGAGGAGAAACCAAAAATATGGGACAAGGGAGGATAGGTGAGTAATTTCCCCGATCAAAAGACCCAGGGTGGATGAGCCAGGGCGACCGCGCGAGTTGTCAAATGGACCTGAATGCGACGGGTGATTCTGATAGGTGGAGAACGTTGTGCAGTTTTGTCAGGTCGAACCCCGGACTCGGACCTAATTCCGTTTACGAGGGATCTTAACTAGGTAGCCAAGGGTTTTGATGAAAATTTAAAGGAACTTGGGCCTTGCGGCGCTTAGCGCGCGTATCTTTTTGCCGGACTTGGCTAGCGAATTTCCATACATACCCCTGTGGCCCGGCCGGCCGGCCCCGGATCGATATCCTCAAGTCCTCTTTAAATACCGTACCTCCTCGCCCTTCTATTCCATCATCAAATCACCCCCTGTTGGTTTCCTCTTCCTCACGAATCGTAAGATTCGGTCTCCGGTTGTTGTCGGATCTGCTATATTCGCTATATTCTTGTCGATCTGCTAGCTTCGTCTTCGTCGGTGGTAAGGTTCGTTTCCTACTAGACGGCGTCTTCTTCTTTGGCGAGTGTTACGTTCTTTCTTGGGCCTGGTTTAGATTGCAAATTTTTGTAATCTAAACACTGTAGCACGTTTCGTTTGTATTTGATAAACTTTGGTCGATCATGGACTAATTAGGTTCAAAAGATTCGTCTCGTGATTTACAACCAAACTATGTAATTAGTTATTTTTTTTACCTACATTTAATGCTCCATGCATGCGTCCAAAAATTGATGTGACGGAAGAGAGTGAAAAAACTTTAAATTTGGAGGTGAGGCCTTGGTTCCCGTTCACGCCGAGATCGGCGAGGTACGTTGCTTCCTTCTTATAAGCGAGTATTTTGTTTTTACGCGTTCGCTCGTGGTATCCTTTCCTTCCATCACCCAGCTCATCGTTCTCTCTTTGTTTCTTGGCAAGCGGCGGCCATGTGTAGATTGGATTTATCTTTCAGGGATTCAATTAGTAGCTGCATCCGATTTGATGCCAAGTTGAAACAGCTTGGGATTTAATTAGTTGCTGCATCCGATTTGACGTCAAGTTGGTACATCTTGTGATTGCCCCCGTCCTCTCCGCCTCTGCACATCTAGCTTTGAGTTGTGCACTGTGACTTTAAACTGCAGCAGATCCGCAGAAAATCCATATCCATAGCCACATAAGACGGGTGTGAGCAGTCCCTAATTTTTAGCTAGATGCACTAGGCCTAATTCTAACTCTAATTAATTTTTGGTTGAATATATTCATATATATTAACTCTTTTGTTTCGATATACCGTACCGGGACTAATTTTAATGAATTTTTAGCTAGCTAATAATTAACTCTCATATCAATCGGGTCCTAAATATTGTATCCTGAGGCCTCGTCGCCAAACCTTAAAGCATGTTTCGCACATCCCTGCGCAGAGTTTCATTTTCACTCTCCTTTTGTTCTTTTTTTTTGAAACTTCGCTCTTGATGTCCTCTATTTTTTTTTAGGTTGGTGTAAGCGATCTTTAATAAAAGAGGATCCTCTGCCTTCTTTAAAAACATTAAAATCAAATCAAATTAGCAAAAGGCAAAAAGCAATGGCCAATTGACGAATAACAAATAAACAAAAAAAAGAGATGGATTTTTTTTTTTGAGAAATTGCATTGCAACTTCAGCATGGCTAATAAAAAAGCTCATGCATGCGGCTACTCTTCTCAAATTGATATGTAATACATACTTGCATATATGTCAGGCCAAGTAGATGGACAGCACTAAAGGAAGGAAACATCGACAATTGATATGTAATATATACTCTGTTTTTCATAAAGCACGAAAGAGGTTTTTAGAAGCCCACACACACACACAGCTCATTACGTGACAAAACAAGTCAAAACGAGAGAATGAAACAAGTGATGTTACGTTTGCAGAACGCTGTTCTCTCTTTCAACCCCCAAGGGTTTGACTTAGGCCCCGTTTAGATGCGAAAATTTTTTGTCTTTTAGCTACTGTAGCACTTTCGTTTGTATTTGATAAAAATTGTCCAATTATGGACTATTTAGGCTTAAAAGATTCGTCTCGTCAATTATGGGCAAACTGTGCAATTAGTTATTCTTTTTACCTACATTTAATGCTCCATGCATGTGCCGCAAGATTTGAAGTGACGGGAATCTTGAAAAATTTTAAATTTTAGGTGGAATCTAAACAGGACCTTACTCACAACCACCGCAACCGAGTAAGAACAAATAAATATCAAAATTTGTGTGACTATTTAATGCAAACAACTCTTGTCCCCTAAAATTATTTATGTGTGGATATAATTTTTAATGCTAAAATACATTATACTATAGGATGGACAGACTCGTCCTGTTTGTTTTGGGCTTATTTGGATGATAAGCCATGACTGAAAGTACTGTTGGTTGATTTGGTGTGAGAAAAAATATTATTTATTAACTTAAAAAAAATACAACTTATAAGCTAAATAAGCAAACGAACAGGACGAGTACTGTACTGCTAAGCTGCTGACCAAGTAGTACATACAGAGCAGCAAGGCACGGCATCAAAAAAAAAAAGCAGCAAGGCACATTGTCTGGACCCCACCTAAGCACATGGCATCCTCCTTCGTTAGGTAGCGTAACCGGATGTATAAGCTGCCATATCAAAAGAGTGTTGATATCTCTGGTTAAAAAAACGCTGACTCTAAAAAGGGACCCTCCTTCCTCCTTTCTTAAATTTATTGTCCACGTTTTTAATCTGTCATAACATTGGACTGTTCCTTTTTTTTAATGTCAGGGTGACAGAGTGACAGACTGATAGAGTGAAAGTCAAGGTCAGCAATGAGCTCGCGGGGCAGGAGCGTGGTCACCACCGGCCTGACCACCATCTTACTTGCTGCAAGCTCAGGCGTCAGCTCCGGCGGAGGATATGGCCTGTTCCTCTGCCTCGTGGGGCTCCTCACCGGCGTCGACCTCATGGCCGTCGGCATCGAGATGAAGCTCGCAGAGCCACACGAGTGGGAGCCCAACCAAGGCGTGATCGTACGTGAAGACAGGATCCAAGTGCTCTCCGGCCTTGTTTAGATCGTACGTGTTGGGCTCTTTCGTTGTCTTGTCCGGCGTTGTGCAGAAAGCGACGTCACAACATGCTTCTTCCTTCCGCTTTTAGAGAAGCATCTGCATCTATCATTTGTGTGGACTCAAATAGTCATATATGCATGGATCGTGATTCTGATACGTGGTGCATGTATGTGGAAAACCAGACAACTTCACGACACACAAGTACTGTATTAATGATGGTGCAAATTCATCAAAGTAACGTAACTGCTCCCTCCGTTACAAAAATAACGATCATTTTCGTTTTCCGAGAAATAACTTTAATTAAATATATATTAAAAGATATTAATATTTATGATACATAATTAGTATCTTTGAAAACATATTTGAATCTAGTTTTTTAATAAATTTATTTAGAAATATAAATATTACACGTATTTTTTATAAATCGACTCAAACTGCGCGAAAGAAAAACCACAGTTAATTTGGGACCGAGGGTACGCATTTAAGGAACCGTCAGTCCGTGACGCGGTAGCCAAAGTACGCCACGCGACGCGCATTCCATTAGGCTTGCGTGCATATTCTTCCCCTGCCACGTGCACGCCTGTAACCAGATAACAGGTGTACTGGCCCCGCATTCCATTTGGCTTCCATCTTCTTCCCCGGTACAGGAAAAAATCGTACGCCGCGGCTGGGCTGGGCTGGACCCGACCATAAAAGCCGCGGCCGCGTCACCAAATGAAGACACGCACGCGCCGCGGCTGCTCCCCGTCTCCAGTCTCCAAGCATCCCACAAGTGCGGTCCTGCCTCGACCTCGAAAAGTCGAAACCAAGCTCTTCCCAGAGCTCGCCCCGAACAGCATGGCGCAGGGGAAGATGCCCGAGGCTGGCACCGGCGCGCCTCGGGAGGCGATGCCGAGCGCGTACGGCGGGATCGAAGCGGACCGCCTGGTGGTGCTAGCCAAGCCGCTGCCCACTGGTGCAGGCCACTGCGCGCCCTTTGCCGTGGTCCGGTTCCAGGACCTGCCGGAGGAACTCCATCGGCAGATCGCCGACGCTCACGGTGCCGCCGCACCGGTGGCGGCGCCCCTGCGTGGCGAAGGAGTCGACGCGCGGTACCACGCCGCGCTCCCCGTCGACGTCGTCGTGCCGGACGAGGGACTCCGCCGCCAGCTGCCCGGATTGTTTTCCGGGCCCGACGACTCGCCGGCCGTCAAATTCGCCGGCGACGGAAACAGCGACGCCGTCAACGAGTACTCCGAGCGCCGCATCCTGCGGGTACAAGCTCTACCTGCCGGTCCGAACAGAGCAACGTGCTGTGTGCGTGATGCTTGTCTTTTCTTTCGTAGCTCATGGAGGAGGACGGCAAGGTGGTGGTGTACCTGGATGCGTCAGCGCTCCAGGTGCTCGGCGACATGGAGGGAAGCCTGTTCCAGAAGGAGAAAGGGTTCTCGCACGCTTGGATGGGCCACTCTGGCGACAACGGCCTCCCCGCGCGCGAGGACGCCGCGCCCGTCGTCGTCGCGCTCCTCCTCGACAACAACCACATCGCAGGAACGCCTGCGCTCGAGCTCGACAGCTGCTCCGACGGCGTCGCCTCCCCACGTGAGGACGCGGTGCCTTTCGTCCAGACGCTCGTCGGCAACGACCGCGCCACCGAGCAGGACGTCTACGGCGTGCTCCTGCCGCCTGACAACGTCGTCGTGCCCGCCGTGGAGGCGTTACGCGCCTCGCGTCCCCCTGCTTACGCCGTGCAGGTGAGCTGGGCCTGTGCACGTGCAATTTCTCGAGACGCCACGCGTCCGTGTTCGATTGTCGCTGCCTCTGTTTTGAGTGGAGCAGAGCTCACTCCTGACCACTCATCTGACATGTGAACGTACGCGCAGGTCTCGGTCGACGGCGACGCGGCCGTGGGTGGCAAAGCCGGGGATCCGATTGCGGGCGGCGTCAAGGCAGCCGGTGCGGGCGCCGGAAACGAGCATGGCGGCAACCTCTCAGCTGTGTTGGGCATCGTCGTCGCCTCCTCAGCCGCCACTGCACTCGCCGCCGGCACCCTCGGCCCAGCGGCGGCGTTCGGGCTGTTCGCGGCCCTGGTCGGCGGTCTTTCCCTGGCTATGGCCAGCGTCCGCGACCGGTAGGATGCACCGGGAGGGATGGATGGATGGATGGATGCCTGGCCACTGTTGGATTGTTCATCTTTCGCAGTCAAACTAGTATGGAATAACAACGACTATAATCAGATATACGTTTCGACTATAATCAGGAATGCTGAAACAGAGCCTTGCAGGGCTGACCGCGGCTACTCCATCCCACTGCGCGTCGTCCCGTGCCGTTCGTGTGTGGCATCATCGTCGTTAGTCTGCGCTTTGCAAGCAACTCGATGATTGACTCCGTTCGCCGCGCCGCCCTGGCAGCACCCGTGGCCGGTGGTCTCCTATGTACGGCACGGCGAAGTAACGAACGAAGGCCTCGGCAACTTTGATGATTGCATCTCCCTTGGTCTAAGTTGGCCCAACTCCTCCTCCTCCATTCCCTGTCCTCGGCCCAACAAGTAGTAGCCGAACCTCCCCACCGCCCATGAGCCAAGCCCATGATCCATTTACAGAACTCGCTTTTCCATTTTCGAATTAAATGGACAACCAAGTGAAACCAACCATTCCAAAATTCATATCTCATCCATTAAAATTTTGATTGACACTATCCTTCGCCTTAAGTTTAACTAAAATTCAAAAAATACTGGATACATATTTAAATGTTTTCATCCGTATTTATTGAATGACTTCGCATTTGAATTGCATGTGTTGTAAAAAATGACATTTAAATTACCAAAAATATATACCATAAATTAATAATACACTTAAATTGCATGAAAATTTTAAAGGTAAAAAATTGAAAAGATTGTATATCTTACACCTATTTTTCTTAGTCAACTTATATTTTTTAAATCTAATAAAAAATAATCTTTCCCAAAAATATTTTAAAAATGGCCTTTAAATTACAAAAAATATATGCCATATATGAAATAAATAATACAGTTAAATTTAACGAAACTTTTAGAAGGAAAAACTAAAAAGATTGTATATCTTAATTACACATAGTTTTCTTAGTCAACTTATATTTTTCAAAAGTCTAATAATAAACAAAATTTCTCCAAAAAAATATCAAATCTGACTAGCTTCCCTAAAAAAGTTTTCATCTAGTAAATAGAATTCTTGTAACGATCATTTTATTTGGTCTTCATTTTAGAGAACAAGTTTTTTCCCTAGTCAACTCTCTCACGTCTAGCAGGATTCGATCTGATTAATACTTAAATTTATTATTTTTGCACGAAGTATTGTATGAGGTTAATTTCATATTGTTTTTTATGTAAGTATTTTAATTATAACTTTCTGCAATAATATACCCTTCTAAGAATCTAAATGTATTTTTGCTCGTATATTGGAATTACTTCGCATTTCAATGATCTTTTAATGACAAGCAAACACGTATTTGAGTACATTATACACTTGAATACCACATGCAAATTTGGAAGGAAAAAAATCAAAAGTTTGTATACTTTACACTTAAGATTTCTTAGTTATTCGTAGTACATGAAATTTAAACATGTATAGGGAACAAAATACCTCTTATAAAATGCTCAGAAAAGTTTCCACAAAAAATCAAATTAATTAGAAATTTAGGCAATAATAAAATTGGCAAGGGGAATTAGCAACAGCTTATGGTGCAGTTCCGGCAGGATCATCTCATCGATATAGGGAAAAGAAAACAAAGGAGGAAGCAGAAAAGAAAAGAAAAGAAAAGAAGCGCCCTAGTCCTATGAGCATGACTAGCAGGTTAGCAGCAGCTGCACGAGGAGGATGGTGGGATCGTCGTTGTGGTTGTGGTTGTTATCAAATGTGCCGCCGCCATTGGCGCTTGACACCCGCACCTGCTGGTCCTGCTGTCGTCGTCGTATAAGTAGAAACAAAGCCAACAACAGTGCTATGATCGAAGCAGATGACACCTCCGACCAGGAAGTCCATGACGAAGACGTAGATGGACGTCCACAGCCTCCGGGCACTCCCAGCAGCGTAGGCACCAATCAAGACCAGCATCCCCACCAGCATGCACGCGTGCAGACCGTAGAATCGGATGCCCGCCGGCTGGTACGTCTTGTCATCCTGGAGCAAGATGATAAGCGCCATGGATGCCATGAAGCTCATCGCGTTACAGTAGAAGAAGGTTGTTTGTTAATCTTGTGCCGGCGGCCGTCGAGCACCATAGCGGCCACGTCGAGTCCGTCGCGGACGTTGGTAGAGCCGGACGCGGCGAGAGACTCCACCGCGCGCTTGGCCGCGGCCTTCCTGTCCTCGGACAGCCGGATGACACGGCGCCCGTCGTCTGAGAAGGCGACGACGCTGAGGCGGTCGCCGGAGCCGAGGTTGTCGATGAGGAACCCCATGGCGCGCTTCACCAGCTCCAGCTTGTGGCCCTCCATGCTCCCGCTTATTATAAATGATAGGCAATATAAACGACGAAGAACAGTAGATCAAGCACAAGGGACACGAGATTTTAACGTGGAAACCCCTCCCATGGTGGAAGGAAAAAAACCACGGGCACCAGCCTGCAAATATTCACTATATCGGGTGAGGTTATAAACGTCGAGGATTTACAACTTTTCTTATCTTAAGACGATGGCTTACATGAAGTATATATAGATGAAAAATCCTAATAGGTGATGATCCGTACCCACAGTGCAACCATCTAGCAGGTCTCTCTTGATCAATTCTGCCATACCAAGTTCACTCATGTGCCAAAGACGCATATGCCAGAGATTAGTTTTACTTGGTTCATCATTAGAAACAGTAGCAGCAGTGACGGAACCATGTAAAGTACTTTCTCTAAGAACATATAACTTTGCAGAATTCGTATCACCTATCATATAAATGAGAGAGCCTTTTGATACCTTACCCACTCTACCTGAACAGGAGTGTCTGTACCCCTCCGCATCCAGTGTGCTGAGGGAGATGAGATTTCTGGCCATCCCTGATATGTGTCTCACATCTTTCAGTGTGCGTATCATGCCATCATGCATCTTGATCTGAACGGAGCCAATGCCCACGATCTCACGTGGGTTGTTATCTCCCATACGCACGACATCTCCACTCTGCACATACTTGTAAGAACTGAACCAATTTCTGTTAGAGCATATATGAAATGAGCATGCAGAATCAAGTATCCATTCATCACGACCAGCAACACAACCAGTAAAAACAACCAGAACATCTCCTGAATTAGAATTATCAACAATGAAGACAATAGAGGCCTTACCATCACCATCGGATTTATTTTTTGGTTTATACGTACCGTTTCTTTTCTCCTTATTCTGCAGCTTCCAACAATCCTCAATGACATGAGTATCTTTCTTACAATACCTGCAGAACTTATCCCTGCCTCTGAACTTCGAACGACCTTTGCCGTTCTTGCACTTGTCTCGATTATTGTTGTTGTTGTAGGTTTTCTGCTCGGGCCTGCCTCTAATCTACAACACTTCGTGCTTGGAGGACGACACATCAGACTGAACCATACCTTTCATCTTCTCCCTCGTCTGGAGGGCCTCATATACTTCCGCAAGGGTTAGTTTATCACGGCTTAATAGTATGGTATCTCGGAAATTTACAAACGAAGTAGGCAGTGAGCATAACAGTAGAAGAGCTAAATCTTCATAATCATATTTTACCTCCATCGACACTAGGTCGGCAACGATCTCCTTAAAGATCGATAAGTGGTTCATCACCGAACCACCTTGCAGCTTGTGCGTGAACAACTTCATCTTCACGTGCATCTTACTGGTTAGATCCTTGGACATGCAGATCGATTGCAGCTTGAGCCAAAGTTCTGCGGTAGTTTTCTCCTGCAGCACTTCTTGCAAAATATCATTATGTAGATGAAGTTGAATTAGAGACAGAGCCTTACGATCCTTTCGCTTCTCTTAAGCGGTCCATGACTTCTGCCCTTTTCCTCTGAAACCATCTAGCACCTCATCAAGATCCGAAGATTATGCCAGAATCGCCCTTGACGTTTGGACCCTTGAAGCCGCGCCGCGGCCCCCTTCTTCTTCCTCCCTCCATTCTGAAAGCGTCGGCTCTCTGCTGCTGGCCTCCTTCCGCGCCCCCACTAAACCCTAACCCCCAAATGCGACCCTAGGTGCCCGGATCTCGTCTCCCGAAGCTTTCTAGAGGTAATGGTCCCTCCCCTCCTCCAATCTATCCACGTAGATGTGCTTGCATTGTCTCTAATCATGTGGAATCATGGGTGTATGGTGTTTTGGTATATGTGTATTTGCATTTGCAAAATGTATGGCTTAGGTTGATTGAGTGCATTGTTGTTTAACTGTTTTATGTGCTGAACATGTTAGGTTAGTTTAGTTTCTAGTTATTTTGGTCATTAGGGTTATTTGTTTATTGTAGGTGTCATTAGGGTTAGTTATTTGTTGGTCATTAGGGTTAGTATGTATTTTAGTTATTTGTTGGTCATTAGATTTCAGTTTTTTATGACTTGAACATTTTGCTAAGGTACTCCTCTTTCCCCTCTTTCATTTCATCCATTTAGATTCGGTTGTTTGTATTTTTTTTTGAACTTGGCATTATAGGTTTGGTTCATGTTCATGTCATTCGTGCAATGTATGATGGTTCAAATGATTGAATGACCCAAATATATGGTTGTTGTTGTTGTTGTATATGTTCTGGTTTATAATCATTGAGTTAAATTTTGTGTT